CTTCAACTTTTCTTTCAAGTGTTGAGCTTGAGGAACTTGATAAGAATCCACCAGATTTTTCTGACTTCCTTCAGCCATGCAATCCTCCTTGATATCTCTAACTTCACTTCAGCAGTTGTATGTTTGGATTTGTTGACTGCGGCTTGAATAATTTCCAACTGCTTCCGGGTCATACGATTCATGGCAGTCATCGGGATGAAGTATTTAGTTTCATCATTTAATCGTTTGAAGATGACTCCAAGATCTGGATAGTTGGTTGCTCCAAGGGATCTTTCTTGAAAGCCTTCAGTTAGGACCGGAGCTGGTTCGAGAGGAGGAAGGTTGAATTTCTGAGCAAGGACATGGTGGATATCAGCATCGATCTTTGCGCAGTCACACACAGTTTCTTTGAGAAAGGTACATGCCCTTTCATAAGCAATCTTCATCCTTGGGTGCTTTTCAGACTTATTCTGAAATACCTTTGCAATCAGGAAGATTTCTCCCGGGTTCATGCAAGGGAAGTCAGCTTGGGTTCGGACATAGTCTGAGCTTCTTCTTGAAAGGGTGTACTGGATGAATTTGGCCTTCATGAACTTTCGAGGCTTGTAATTCTTGACTGTGGAGGGTCTGTCATTTGACCAGATTTTCTCTATAGAAGACCCATGTTTGGCATGAAAACTGCTGAGCCTCTCAAATTCTAAGGGTGACCTCTTATCATCGGTGATACTGCGGTCAAAGGGTTCAAACACAGTGAAGAATTTTGCGTTGGGAGAGATAGGAATGTCCCAATAACCGTCAGTAGGGGGTTCAACGTATGTGAGGTAGGGCTTGTAATCGTCATCCTGTAATCTTCTGTGCGGATTGACCCATGAGTTGATGAGGGATTCATCCATTGTAATATCAACTCCATTTTCCCTCCAGATCATCTCAACAAATTTAGCTGATCTCCAGTCAGCTTTTTTCTATTTGGTTGCGGGAGAGTCGTTTGAGTGATCTGATGACATGTGGGAAGCTAGGTTTTTGAAATGAGGGGGAGTCTCGGGTCTTTCAGGAGAAGAATGAAATCTTTGAGTTGGTGAATGTGGTGGGGATTGGCGTGGTGGAGATTGCGGTGGAGTTTGAATTGGTGGTTGTTGCGGTGGAGATTGATTACTTGGACTCTTCTGAAGAGAAGGTTGCGAAGACGGTTGAGGAGTAGGAACTTTTTCATTGATGATGGGAGTGGAATGCTGATGAGATATTTGATCTGCGCTTTGGTCTTCACTTCCCCCTTTTGAGGGAGGAGCCACTGGTACTTCCTCAAGCCATTGCTTAAGTCCATCAAGCTTACCACAGACTTGGTCAAACTGAGCTTTTAGAGCATCCGCAAGTTGTTGGTTGTTTGGGATTGCGGGGTTGAAGAGCAAACGGTGAATCTCCTTGGTGAGTTGCAGGATTTCAGGACCGTGAAAGTTAGAGGATAGTGACCTGCGGAGATTGTTGATTGTTGACTGTAGAACAGAGATTGCGGATTCATACACATTGTGTGTTTCTTCAGCAACTTTCTGAGACTGAGCAGATTGGTCTTTGATGATGGTCTGAAGATCCGTTTTGATGGAGGATACTTCAGAAATGAGTTTTTCAACAGTGGAGATGAAGTGTTGATGATCAGCTTTGCGGTTGTTGTCTAGGGCCCGGATCCCCATTTCCACTTTCAGGGAGATGCATTATGCAGCAAGACGTTCTCTGGTTTCCAGTCTTTCATTGCGGTCGATGAGAGACTGCGGGCCAGGCGATTCTTCAGATTGCGGTTGGGAAGATTTGACTGCAGCCAGAATCTGATCTACTTTGTTTAGTAGAGAGATAAATTCTTTTCTGGAGACTGCTTTCTTCTTTTTCTTCTTCTTCTCCTTAGGCTTTGACATCGAGTGCTGAGAGCCGCTAGACTCTTCTTCTTCATCGAAAAACATCATAACATCTTCTGACTGTTCTAGCTGATTGACTTCATTTGGATCGAAGTCATCGAAGCCAAAGATTGGTGCTGAACTGACTTCAATTGCAGTGCCATCTTCTTGAGAGTTGTTGTCAGCAGTGGTAGGAGGGGGCTTGGATGTACCTGCACCAACGGGATTGGCCTGAGCTTTGCGGATTGTCTCAGCCATTGCTTCCATACAGTCCTAGACTTTGAGGATTGTGGCAACCGTATTGGCATTATTGATGGCGTCGGCCCAGTATTTGGCTATTCAACCTCTTGCTGCTTCTGTTGAAGTTGCTTAGTTTGTTGATCCTTTCTTCCTTGAAATGCGCTACGGAAAGCGGCATACTCCTTAATGTCGGATTCTGAGACTGGATTGTAATGCCTCCAAGAATCATTTGATTCATCCCCGTCAAATCCTTGAAAACGCATCGAGGTGTCCCTCGGGTTCACATATCCTTGCACGTTTGTGCTCACTGTGCCTAAACCACCTGGATTTGATGTAAGTAGAGTAGGATTTCCGGAGCTTCCTCGGTCTCCTTGACCCGTGGTCAAGTTTGGCCTCGGCTCCGTTCTGGAATGGGCTGAAGAATCGCCCTGCGGTTGGGTAGGTGTTTGGATTGTTTGGATTACAGAGTCTAAGATGGAGCGCAACTCCGATTCTTGAAAGAAGTGTAGTTTGGAAGTCCTGGAGACCTTAGGGCGAGAAGAACCAATTAGATCCTCTTGGGATCTAGTTGGGGGTGAGTCTCCACGTTGAGATAAAAAGAGCACACTTTCTGTGTTCGAGTGGCTAAAGAGGGTACCCCAAGGACTACCGGAGTCTTTTGAGAGACTTCGGTATCGGTCCGGTCACGCATTTGGCTAGTGGATTTGGTTTTCCTTTTCTTGAGAATGGCAATAGGAGCAAAGTCAGGATCAGAATCGTCGGAAGATTGATTGGATTGAGAGTTACTTTCAGATGATACAACTTGTTGGATTTTTCGTTTCTTTGAGGGTTCTGTTTCCTTGGGAGCTTTGGTTTTCTTGGATGCTTTGTGTTTCCTGCGGGGTTTTATCAGTAGAAAGTGTTCTTGCTTTGCTACGGGGGCCTTTCTTGGGAGAAACTAGCTGTTTGAGCCTTGAAGCATTGGATAGAGTAGTAGAAGATGGGACTGCAGATCGTTCTGTTTGATTGGGTGCGGTTGTGGCTAATATGTTTTGACTTGGGAGAGGCGGGGTAGAAAGGTATGGGGCAATACCTTCCGTAGCCTCTATGTGATCCATGACTATTTGGGTCTCAAGTCCAACCGTAGTCAGGATGTGGATGGGTAAGCGTCTGATAGGTCCAAAAATAGATTGATCTTTAGAAGGAGTGTACCTTTTGAGATCGCGGGTGATGAAAAAGTTGATGGCGTTGCCCATACTTATCTTGGCGTCTGAATGCAGGTCTGAGATGCAGAGAGCCCAAAACCTTGCAAAGGTGAGCTCGGTTGGATTTTCCTTTGGGTTCTCCTTAGGGATGTACTGAAGAAAATCATCCCAAAGAATTTGACCGTAGTTAACATCGTGTCCAGTGAAGATGCTCCATACGAGCTCAAGAAGTTTGAGGCCCATGTTGTCTGTGCCTCCGGTTCGTCCAGACAAACTGCGGATCACAAAATGGCATACTAATTGCCATACCACAGGCAGTTGATTCTTCTTGAACTCTGCAATACCCTTGAGTTGCTTCTGGTATCCCATTTGATACAGGGCGGAGGTGATGTCTGTGACACTAGGTGAGAAGAACTTCGTCGAGGGATGAACCAGTAAGTTGATTGAAGCAAGAAACTTGTCTTTTGTCAGAATGACCAAAGAATCATCAACCAAGTTCAGATGAACTTCTTGCAGATTGTTGAGGGGACGATGTGCAGAAAAGGCACATTTGAACAAAGTGGAGATGGGAACCACATCAGTGAAGGCATCGAACGGTCGAGACAGAGGATGATTGGAGATGAACTTGATCATGAGGCGAATCGAGTCATTGTATGAAGAGTGATCATCGAAGATTGCCCTAAAATTGCTAGATGCAATGGTGGGTGATTGGTTCCGAGTAGCAGAATCTAAACCAGTGGGTTGAACAGAGGCTGATGCTTTCGATTGTTTCTTGGAGATTCCTGATTTCACCATTTTGAAAAAGGTTGAAGAACTTGCAGAAAAAACTTGAGTTGCAAGGGGGAAGAAGATGAAGTTGTTCGTCTTGAGGGTTCAGAGAGCGTAAAGCTTTCTTGGAGAGGAAAAAGGTTTTTATAGTGGCGGATTCCAAAAGTTATTGTTTTTACCCTAAAAGGTGATTAAGGGTAAAAACAGGAAATATTAAAAAAAAACATTATCTGCCAAAAAATCGTTTTAGCGAAAGGTTATTGTTTTTTTGTTTATTTCAAACAAAAGCATTTAATGAAGTGTCAGACGCGACACCCCATGTCTGCTGAACGTGTGGTGAGGGGTGAAAATCCGTTGAATAAAGGTGGAATTTGTAACGGATTTGACGTTTTGGAGTAAGTTGAAAAGACAGTTTAAGGAAAAGATTATCTAAAAGGATTTCTTTTATTGGAAACAGATTTATTTTGTCATCACACCTAAAATAGGTCTGACAGGAGGTTTATTTGAAAAGAGAAACTGAAACGATCATATGCGACAAAAGAATATTTTTGAGAATGTTTTTCTTATTTAATGAAGGATCATTAAATAGCACACAATGTTTCACGAAATGGAGCAGCTTAAAATTCAATCACTGAGATTGCGGTTTGAAATTTCATTGCGGGTTGAGATTTCATTGTGGGTTGATATTTCATTGCAGATTGAGACTTTATTGCGGATGAGTGGTTAGATAACTGCAGTAGAAGAAACTGCAAAAAACACTTGAACACAATCAGAAATAACAATCAATAAGGACCCTTGAAATATAAGTATGATATATAGTTGCAGTATATACTGTATATTACGGTACAAGAGATGTACTGCAGTATACAAGATATGCCATAACTATGTAAGATAGATATATTTAGTTAGGACCGCAATGGTGAGCAAGAGTGGTCTACGGTACCTATCAATTTAAAAAGAATTGCGGATCCGGATTCATCATTCCTAACATTTGTAAGAAACGGTTGGGTTTTGTAGAGTCAAGTGCCTTTGTGAATACATCAGCAATCTCTTCATGAGTATGGACAAAAATTAGTTCAATGTTACCTTTCAGGATGTGGTCTTTAATGAAGTGATACCGTAGCTCAATATGCTTTGTTTTGGAGTGATGAATAGGATTATGAGAAATCACTATGGCACTCTCTGAGTCACAGTAAATCGGTATCCGCTGCATCCTGTATCCGTAGTCTATAAGCTTTGTTTTCATCCACAAGACTTGTGAGCAACAACTGGCTGCTACCACATATTCAGCTTCTGCGGTAGACAGTGAGACACAACTTTGTTTCCTTGATGACCAGCTAACGAGTCTTCCACCGAGAAATTGACATCCACCGGAAGTGCTTTTTCTGTCCAATCTACATCCAGCATGATCCGCATCAGTGAATGCTTGTAGGCTGAAGTCGTTCCCTGCGGGATACCAGAGGCCTAGAGATTTGCTGCCTTTTAAGTATCTAAGAATCTGCTTGGCTGCGGTCATGTGAGATACTTTCGGATCGGCTTGGTATCTTGCGCATACTCCTGTTGCAAAGACAATGTCTGGTCGACTTGCAGTGAGGTACATCAATGATCCAATTATTCCTCTATAAATCTTGTGATCCACTGATTTGCCGGAAGGATCATCAGATATCTTATATCCGAAGGCCATGGCTACCTTAGTTGAAGAACAGTTGTCCATTGAGTATTTCTTTAGTAGTTCAGAGGTGTATTTCTCCTGATGGATGAATATCCCTTGAGGGACTTGTTTCACTTGAAGTCCTAGAAAGAAATTAATCTCTCTATTCATGCTCATTTGGAACTTGTTGGTCATGAGCTTAGCAAATTCATCCACCATCCCCTGATCAGTTGATCCGAAGATGATATCATCCACATATATTTGTACAAGCATAAGGTGATTACCATTTGCCTTTCTAAATAAGGTGGGATCAATCACTCCTCTTTTGTATCCGGACGAGACAAGAAATTCAGAGAGAGTCTCGTACCATGCTCTCGGTGCTTGTTTTAGACTGTAGACTGCTTTTTCAAGCTTGTAGCAGTAATCTGGGAATTCAAGACATTCGAAGCCCGGAGGTTGCTGAAGATAAACCTCCTCTTTCAATTCACCATTCAGGAAGGCACTTTTTACATCCATTTGATGTACTTTGATATTCTTGTGAGCAGCATACGCTAAGAAGATGCGTATGGCTTCCATTCTGGCTACTAGGGCGTATGTTTCATCATAATCAACACCTTCAAGTTGAATATACCCCTTTGCGACTAGTCTAACTTTGTTTCGAACTACCGCACCGGATTCATCCAATTTTTTCTTGTACACCCATCTGGTACCAACAATATTGTGACCTTTTGGCTTCGGAACGAGTTGCCACACTTTGTTTCTTTTAAACTCTTCCAGTTCTTCTTGCATTGCTGCTATCCAATCAGGTTCCATTAATGCTTCTTTCATGGTTCTGGGTTTGACCGAAGACATAAATGTTGCATAGTAACAGTGATCAGATAAGTCTTGTGAAGACCGAGTTTGGATGCCTGCTGATGGGTTTCCGATGATTTGACCTGGTGGGTGGTCCTTCGTCCATACGTGTAGACGGGGTTGAAGGTGGTCAGTGGCTGCGGTGGAAGGAATATCTACAATATCTGAAGATTCTGCGGTTGGGGACGGCAGTTCCCTCTGGACATGTGAGCAGCCCGCTGAATTGTCTTGAATTGGAAAGGTGGGATTGGAGTTTTCTTGGACAAATGATGGAGGTTCCCCCTGGATTGCGGACGGGAGTTCCCCTTGAACCTGAGAAGGTTCCCCCTGGATTGTTGGAAGTGTGATAATTCTCGAGTCTGTTCTTGTGTCGATGTTCTCTATGTCTTCATCATCTGAGTCAGAAGAGATATCCGATGGTAAGGATTCTCTACGGATAGGAACTGGAACTGCATCATCAAGTACTGGAACCTCGATGGTTGTCACTTGATCCGGAGTCGAGCTTTCCCCCTCAACCGGCGAGGTGGAAGTATTGAGTGATACTACATCGGATAGAGATGGACCAGATACGTCAGCATGCTGTTGTTGAGCTTCCGGAGACACAAGAACTTCGGATAACTTGGTTATTTCTACGGGGTCGAAGAGATCGTCATAGTTTACTTCAACTATATTTAGTGGCCCCGAAGAGGCAGGAATATCACTTTCTAGGATTGCTTTGGTTTCGGTTGATGGAGCGGTGTTGTGGACGTAATAGTCATCGAACTTGACATCGAAGCTTTCAACTATTAGCCTTGTGCGTCTAATGAGAACCCTATAAGCAACTTTGTTTGTTGAGTAGCCAAGAAAGATGCCTTCATCAGACTTCGGTGCGAACTTGTTAAGATGATCTCTGTTGTTGATCACAAAACATCTACACCCAAAGATATGGAAGAATCAGACATTTGGTTTGCGGTTGTTAAGGCCCTCATAAGAGGTTTTACCGAGACGCTTGCAGATGATGCTTCGGTTTTGAACAAAGCAAGCTGTGGCCACTGCTTCGGCCCAGAAGTAGAGAGGAAGATGTGTGAAGTTAAGCATAGATCTGGCTGCTTCTACCAGGGTTCGGTTTCTTTGCTCTACTACTCCATTTTGTTGCGGTGTGTAGGGAGCTATGAAATTGTGAGTGATACCCTTTGAAACCAAGAAACTGTTTAAGAGATGGTTTGAAAACTCGGTTCCATTATCACTTCGGATGCGACGTACTGGTAACTTGATCTGAAGTTCAATTTCTTTGATAAAATTGATCAGTATCTGCGGAGTTTCGGATTTGAGTCTTAAGAAAAAGACCCAGTGAAACGAGTGAAGTCAATAACTATAACCAGTATGTATTTTTTGTGATGAAGACTGGCTATGGTAGATGGACCGCAGAGATCAATGTGCAAGAGTTCCAGTGGTTCATAAATTGAAGAATCAATCACCATTGGGTGACTTGCTTTGGATTTCTTGCCACATTCACATGCAGGACAGAGTGTATCATTGCTGAACTTGAGATTGGAAGACCTTAGACGAGTTCTTCGGTGACCAGATTGTTGATGTATCTGAAGTTGAGATGAGCTAGCTTGTGGTGCCATAGCCAGCTGACTTCAGATACTGCTTTGGATAGAAAGCATAGTTGCGGTTACCCAATGATCAGAGAGACGTCCAGGGGATACATGGTCCCTTTGGACTTTGATTTGATCAAACAAGTGCTTCTATCGCTGGTCACTACATAGCAGTATTCATTGTCAAATTCAACCCTGTGGCCTGCTTTACATAGTTGGCCTACACTGATGAGATTGTGTTTAAGGCTTTCTACATAAGCAAACTTTTGAATAGAGAAGTTTCCCGTAGTAAGAACACCATAACCTCAGATTCTCCCATTCGCATTATTGCCGAATGCGACATTTCCACCATTGCAAATTGGCCTGAAATCCCGAAGGTATTCTAACCTTCCGGTCATGTGCAAGGAGCGGGCACTGTCGATTAACCATTCTTCTTCTTGTTCCTCCTTGCACAAAGCCTGAGTATTACACAGTTAGTTTAGGCATCCAAACTAGTTTGGATCTTGGGACAAAAGATGAATTTCTGATTGATGCAAGAACCGAGGTTGCAGGGACAGGTTTCGTGTCAACTTTTATGCCTAGTCTTGGGTGTTTGTGAGTTTTTAGAGTGTTGCGAGGTTTAGAAAAGTTACGAGGTTTTTGATAAAGAACCAGATTTGACATGAGATGAACCTTTTTGACAATTACACTGACATGCACAAATTTTGTCATTTGACCTGACATTTTGTTTGGTCAGCGGTCTGAATGACGAGGTAGGCTTGTGACCAGTCTGAGAGTGGTGAGATCTGACATTTTGTTTGGTCAGCGGTCTAAATGATGAGGCACGGTTATTGGTATTTGAAAAAGTACGTTTTGCAGAAGTGAAAGCATGGAAGGATTTCTTGGAAAGTGATATCTGGAAACTTTGATGTGATATTAAAAGTGTTGGAGTTGGTAAAATCCCTTACCATTTTGGGTCATCTAAGGAATAGATTTGAAAACCATTGCTTCGAAAACGCTGTACTCTCTTTTGGGTTGTGTCAGATGTTTTTGAAATGCTTGAAAACTGTACATTCCTTTTTGTATGTTTTCTTGATCGGAGAGTTTTTTGAAAAATAATGTGAGAAAGCAAACTTTTCTGGACTCTTAGATTTTGGAAATCTGACATGCCTTTTGTTGTTTGAAAAGATTTCCCGATTTTTGCCTCGGGATCGAATTTCTTCTTTGAAAGCCTTTTTAGCTATGGTTTTTGGAGAACCGCAATCATTAGTGTTCAGATGCGGTTTCCTAGAAACCTTTGAAAGTTTTTGAAAATGAGGGATAGATTCATCCGAACTAGAAGATTCAGGACTTTGAGAGCATTGACCCATTTCAAAGTTTTCTATGGGTAATTCATGATGAATTGGCTGAATAGTCATAGAGCTTTTGACTGAAGACTGCGGTAAGGATGATTTAAATACCGCAGAATAAGACTGAGTTGGGACTTTTGTGGGACTTCTGTGGCTCATGACTGCAGTGAGGGACACTGCGGTCTGAGGGCAGAGATGGAAAGTCCATTGAGACTTTGGGACTTTCTATGAAAATTTCCTCATCAAAAACTGATGAAGTTTGAGAATTGGGATAGATTGTACCACAGATGGGAATTTGATCACTTGAGTGACCCAAAGATTCAGGCAAAATTTCCTCAATGACACAGTTCTTACTCAGATTATGAAGTCTATCGAAGTGAGTTCTGATGTCTTCGGGAAAGTTTTGTCATTGACTGGGAAATGGAACTCTCGGTCAGGAGGGACATAAAGTCGATCTTTGTTAAACCGGGGTGAGGAATCCTTTGCGGTAGGATATCCATTGGACCAACCCCAATTATAGGTATTATCTACGGTTCCATTGTTCACCAAATTTTCAATAGCTTCACTTTCATTGAACAGTTTTTCTATTAAAATATTTAGTCGTACAATCTCACTCTGAGCTAAGTCTCTTTGGTTCAAAGCTATCTCTAGTTGTGTTTCACTCAACATTCTTGCATCTTTCTCTAACTCTAAGTCCTTTTCTAACATAGCTACTTTGAGTCTTTTGTTATCCAGTCGTCCTCTTACATGGAACATCTCTTGGGACGCTATGTTCTTCTCATCTAGAGCTTTGTTATAGTCTGTAAGGACGGCAGCACATGTGTCATTAAGATTGTCTATGAAGGGTTGACAGTCATGCATGCTATAGTTTAGAGTTTGAGTCATAAGTTTTACATGTTCGACGATGCTTAGAGTTCCATCTTTGTCCATGTAGCAGTAGTTATTTTCCAGCTTTGTAGACCCATCGTCATCCGTAGTTGCCAGCATGCAAATCTTGCCTTTACCTTTGATGTTGCTGATGTCTTCGTCTTCATCTCCGGATGACCAAACTTGATGGTCTCTTTTTACATGGGCTATGTATGCCCTTGTTTTTTCCTTTTCTTCCAATTCTTGAGCCATTCTAAGGTAGAATTCTCTGTCTTTCATTATGTTAGCCTTGCAATCTTTTGCAAAATGATTCTCCTTGTTGCACTTGTGACAAATTACAACATCACTTTATCTTCTGAAGAGGTACCGAGTCAGTTGGATTGATGGGCTTCGGTGCCTCTTTGGTTGAGTAGTCTGAGGTTGCGGTGGTGGGTGAGAACTTTTGGGATATCGAGAGTGGTTATTCTGTGGGTTGAAGTTGCGGTTGAATGGAGGTTTGTTGAACTGCTGATTCTTACAAAAAGAAGGAGGTGGTAGTCGGTTGAACTGTTGGCTAACAAGAGCAATAGCCTTCTGAAATTCTTCTTCATCATCATACTCTGAGTCAGCTTCGTATGACTGCGGAGGATTGTCATACGAGGGAGAGTAGGATTGAGTGTGTGGAGCTTGTGCTATAAGAGCAAGTGGTCCTCCGAAGTCAGCACAATCTTTGAGTACGGTGGATTCTTGTGCTTGCAGTTCTCCGTAGAGCTTGTAGAGAGACAAAGAATGAATATTTCTATCTCCTTGGACTATCCTCTTAGCAGTGGTCCAGTGTCTTCCCAAACCATTGAGAAACTGAAGATTTGTTTCATGGTTACTTCGGATGGTGCCAGCATTAGATAACTTAGTGACTATCAGGTTGAACCTTTTGAAGGAGTCTTCCAAACTTTCGCCAGTATGAGCTTTGAAATTGTTGAACTCATTGAGTGAACTTGTGAGCTTCTTATCTTGAGCTTGTTCTGACCCTTCATACAAATTTTTGAGAACCTCCCAGATATCTTTTGTTGATTTGCAGTTTATGATAATGTCGAAGTTGTCAGGAGCAACTCCACAAGAGATTTCATAAAAAGCAACAACATCATTTTCCATTTTATCGAGATCGTCTTTGGTGGGACGATTCATAACTGGTTGACCTCCTCCTAGTCTGGCTGTGGCGCCGTCGGTTTGAACTGGTGTAAGAACAGGGACATGTGGCCCTTCTTCTACAGATCGCCATACATCTCTACCAAGTCTCCTTAAGTATCTTTCCATTCTCTGAGACCAGTGATGATATTCATTTGCCACCAATATTGGGGCTCTATTAGAACCACCAACACTGTTGGAAACACTGAGAGATAATGCTTGTGCCATATTTCCTTGTTTTTTTTTGAAAAGTTTTTTTGTTTTTGTTTTTTTTAAGAAATGAGCTCTAGTGGTATAGAAGGCGTTTTGAAAATCAGAGTTTTGCTTCAAAAAGCAACCACTATGGCTTTGATACCAATTTTTGAAAGAAAAATTTGAGAAACACACTTGAACAAACGTTAGAACAAGTTTATATTGCGGAATTCAAAGTTAATCTCAAAGGATCATAAAGCTCAACAATAATATAAGTTAGAGTTAGATAGTTAGATGATTAGTTGCGGAAAGATAAGGAACTATAAAAGACAGCAAGTATTATATCAAGTATACACTTAAGTTGATTCTTAACAAGGAATGCAATCAGACCAAGTTAGTAAGTGAGATCAAACTTAGTGATTAAGTCTAAAAAGACTTGCTCTCGAAGAGAGATTACAAGGAGTTACGACTATATTTAAGTAATGAGATAGTAGAGAGAAATGAGTGATAAGATTCAAGATGCGTAAAAGAGGTGTATTCATTGAGAAGTGGAGAACTCTATTTATAGAGTCTCAAAGATTACATACAGCCTAATATGTTTGAGTTGCCATGCAGGGAACTAAGAATAAAAGAAAGTACTTAAACAAAAGACAGATATAAGACTGAATCTAAGAACTGATGACGATGACTGCGGTTGCTGATCTGACTACGGGGAGAGGTTGACAGTGGTTCCATAGGCAACTTCGGATCTCTTTCAAGTTTAAGAGGGTCACTTAATGTTTCAACAGATTTGGATCTGGAATATGGACTTAAGGGCTTAACGATTAAGCTCTTAATGAGTTGGGTTGGCAGCCAGATGTGTATGTTGGGCGTACAAGGCGTACGCCGCGCGTACGTGGTCAACAGACCCGTGTCTGGTAAATCGTCGTGTACATTGGGCGTACAGCTGAGTATGTTGGGCGTACTCATCTGGGTTAACCCGGTTGAATTTTTGGGAATTTTGACTTTTACCTGATTTTGACCAAGTTTAACCTAGGGGTATTTTGGTTATTTTGGATTGTGATTGAGAATTGGTCATTTGGATAGATAGGTAATGGTTAGAGCTTAGATTCGGAGTCGGGACCTCATTAGCTATTGTTAAGATTGAGACAGAGTTTTCCTCACTAAACTTATGGGTCGAAGGCACTAAGGTCGGTGCATTCGATTGATATCCTGGTTTATTATATGTTGCTATATTGTAGTGATTTGTTAGATCTGTATCCTGGTATATAGGATGTTGGTATGCTGTAGTGATCTTTTACATCAGTATCCTGGTAGATAGGATATTAACATGCGGTAGTGATTTGTAGATCTGCCTGTTTGTCTATTGACTAGTTATATGTTTATTTGTTATGTATATGTCGACATGTTATGGTTGGTTGGGTTGAGGCGATCATGCTTTGTGCTGAAGGCCAAGATACCCGGGGCGGTTCTGATAAA